TCTTTGTTGTTTTTGGATATTAAAATTATATTACAGTAATGGTTAGGGTTAGGGTTTTCTTCTTCCTTTGCTCTCTTAATCCCGCGTCTTTAAGGAGCAACCTTCATTTCCGGAATGCAATAGTCCCATTTCAATATAAGGTATGGGACTGACGGAAAGGTCCGTCCCCGCCCCATTCTGCATGCTGCAGCGAAGTGTACCTCGAAAATTCTACTTTTTACACAACTTCATGTTTTACTTTGACTGCACCAAGTTAAACAAAAATACAGGTACATGCCAATTTTTAATAAAATACATTGAACAAGTTTATAAAACAATTTTTACTCAATTTTAACATACATCGGCTACTGTTAATGCTAACTGTGCTAATGCTACAAGTACAACTGCTAATTCTGCTAACACTATTTGTTATTTTTAAGCTTTGTTTACCTGATGCTGTTTTTAAGTTTGTTTACCCAACAACAGAAGTTATTTCTTTAACACCAAAGCTTTATGAATCCAGACGTCTTAGTGGAGGTTTTTCTGGAGACTACTGTTCTATTTCGTGTAAGCTCCGCCCTCGAGGGATACCATCAGGTGACAGCCTTAGAGGACGGAGCGTATACTCATAGTAGCTTGGGTTACAATGCGTAACCATCGTTATGCAGCCATGTGTTGTTGAAATACAATAAATCACAGCACCATCTAGGGACCTGGCATGGAAGCTACAGTGGATTTGACAACCCATTTAAATCATCAGAAAATCTTTAACATGTTCAGAGATTGTTCATGTGCAAGGACCTTAGTTTTTGGCTTGCTTTTTATCACTGTTAGCTAGTGTTTCACTACAGTACTACTAAACATTTCGATAGTTCTGAATATAGTTTTGCTACTTTTAACTGTTAGCATTTTGCAACTTTTTGCTAAGTTTCAGAGCAAAAAGACTCAAACTCTGTTCAAACTTGAAACCTTTGCAATAACTCAGACATCTGACTCATATAACGATTAAATTCTAACTTGTGTGACGCTTAGTTGCAGAACTTTGGGCAAAATAGTAYAACAGGCCATGAGTTCTTCAGAACGGAACTACTCACTTTGCTTTTTCTAGACTCACAAACAGAAATGTGTAATTTGATTTTTAGTTGTAGTTTTTAAAATACTCACACTCACCTCATTTGTGCTACCCTGCAGATGCATTAAAAAGAGAAGTACAGAGTGAGTGGAAACAAACACTTTTAACACATGCAGAACACAAAGTTTCATTATTAACAGGAAAGTTTGGCTCAAATACAAATAGCTTCAGAGAACTTTTCTACAACTGATCTGAAAAGATGAGCTGTTGCCTCCTGTTGGTTCAAATAAACAGCTTCACCAAATTTTCACAGATTTTATGTGATATGTTTAGTTTTCTTCTTTTTAGAGAGTAAAAAGTATAATTATCATTACAGACTGATTATTGTGTAAATGCTGATTTTTGCAATCAAATGTGTTGTGACTGACTCAACTACTAGCCGCTGGCGTGCTCGGGGTTCCTGGGGTCTGGGGCTGGGCGCTGGGGTGTTTGCCGGCCTGGCCTGGTGACTGCC